AATACTCCGGACTGTAATCATAGAATCATAGAATCATTAAGGTTGGAAAAGACCTCCAAGATCATCGAGTCCAACCGTCAACCCAACACCACCATGTCCACTAAACCATGTCCCTAAGCGCCTCATCTACACGTCTTTTAAATACTTCCAGGGATGGTGACTCAACCACTTCCCTGGGCAGTCTGTTCCAATGTTTAACCACTCTTTCAGTAAAGAATTTTCTTCAGTAAAGAAATTTTTTCCATAGATATATAAATATGATGAAGAGAACTAATTTTAAGGACACAAACTATTCAATTTTTTTTAATTGAAATGTCCATAGATGCCATAATCTGTTTTCTGAATCTGCCTATACGATTGTTCTCTGCATAAAGAACATGCAGAGCCCGGCAAACTAAACAACAGGCAGAAAGAGAGTAAAATCCTTCATGTAAGGTCCATTTGAAAAGATAGGGAAAAAAACTGAAATTAATTATAGAAAAAGCAAACATGCTTTTCTTTTAATGAATGAGGAATAATAGTCTTACCTGACAGAAATAATTTAGGTAAAAATAACAAATTGAATCAAAAGAGGGAAAATTCTTACTTCCCCTTTGTGCCCCCACATTTGGCTTGAACACCAGACAACTATTTTACATTAATTTTGTAATCTTAAAAGAATAGGAGCCCATAAGATGTTTTTGCTATTCAGTTCAAAACACAACCAGCTATTTTCCGTACATACCTTCTGCTGACATTATATTAATGATCAAATTATGCCTTGCTGTCTCAAAGGTACGCCTGTTATATGCAGTGATCTAGAGTAAAAAAAAAAAAAGATATGATTGCAAAACAACAATGCAAATATGAAAATCAGATAAATGAAACTTCAATGAAAATTAAGTTGATAATTTAGAAATACTTATCACCTTTTAAATGCTTTGCCTCCTTATTTTGAAATGTATGAACATTCATTCAGTCATATAAAATGTGAAAGGTAAGATCAATTTATTTGATGCAGCACTACCTTCAAGTCAGGATACTGGAATTTTCTCAACCAGTGTATAGCCAAATACAATTATCCAAGGGATATATGTGAATACAACACATTTTGGTCCACATAAAAGTGTTCTGCCATACACGTGTATTCTTTCTTTTCTGCTATCTTTAAGAACAACCATAAGCAAAGACTGGTTTCTCCATTTCCCCTTCCACCCTCCACCAATACCGTAAGATCTACATTCATTGATAGCTCCTAGGGAACTAAACTAGATGGAGATATTTAAAGGAAAGACTGTTGGAATCCCAGCAATTCTAATCTTTGGGATTGGGATTTAGTTTTAGCTCTAGCCCCATTAAAGTCATACTACATGAATAGATTCACAAGTGTTGCTCCAACACAAGTAGTTTTTAAAAAAATCATGGAATCTGTAACTGTAGGGGAACTGAAAACTAGTAGGTAGATGCAACGTTCATGACTCTTATTGTTGGAAGCTTACACCAGGGTTGTCAAGCATTGGAACAGGCTGCCCAGGGAAGTGGTTGACTCACCATCCCTGGAGGTATTTCAAAGACGTGTAGATGAGGCGCTTAGGGACATGGTTTAGTGGTGGACTTGGCAGTGTTAGGTTAATGGTTGGACTCAATGACCTTAAAGGTCTTTTCCAACCTAAACGATTCTGTGATTCATGATCAAATTACGTAAGGATACCAATCTTATAGTTTAAATGTATAGGATGCCTGAAATGCTCACAAGTGGTTACTCCTCAGTGGTGACTGTACTCCGAGGTTGTACTATGATTAAGTGCTCGTTCATAAGAAATACAGAATGAAGCTGGATATCAGTATAATTATGTATTATTTTCTCTACTTCTTTTTTGCCTGAAAAAAAGGTGATAAATCTTTCATGAAACAAATTGAAAAAGACTTTCTTCCTAATTTTAGACTTTAGTCAATTCATTTCAGAGACCAAGGAGAGGCAGAGGAGTGGCAATAGTGACAGAACTATGTTGCTTCTCAGCAAACAGAGCTACAAAGCATTGTGACATTGATTATTAAACAAACAAAATAGATATTGCACTTCTTTTAAAGGATTTAAATGAAAAAGAAAAATGCTCTGGAATATCTTCTGTGGGTTCATTTAAGCGTAGAGGGAAAAGCTTACCTGACACAATTACATCTCATGTAATGTAACAATTTCATTATAAAATTAATAGAAAATGAATTCCTGAGATTTTTCAAATCCTCAGTTCTGTTAATTTTTCAAAGGGTTGTTTCAACAGCAGTTTAAACATTAATACTTAGAAAACCTAACTCTCTGGTTGTACAAGCTCTATACAGGAACACGACAGTACACATTTTGAGTCTGCATGCCAGCAGTGAGAGTTGCTAATGTGGACAGGCACCTGTACCAAGTAACAGTCACAGTGGCAGAGATTGCCTCTGTACTGAATATTCATTCAAACAAACCGCCTTTGCACAGCTTTCAAAGGAGCTTGAACTCAAGCATGTTACCTGCTCTATTGTAGTGCTATGCATAACGTTAGGCTCTTCTAATCATGAGGTCTTCTCCAATTAATTGACTTACCCCTGACATCCCCTCAGGAATTACGACATGATCAAAGTCATATTCAGGCCAGGAATATGCAACCACTCCTCTCAGATGGCACTAGGAAGTGGATCGAATGCTATCTGCACTCTTCACGTATTACAGAATTAATTTATAAGCCACATCTGAGAGGGGACTGCAAAGAATTAATTTGTATTTAGTTCAAATATAGGCTTGGGGTCATGCTTATAATGGAGATCTTGATATAGATCCTAGAATCTAAAAGCACATGCCATCTTAAAAAAGGGCAATTTTAAATAAGTTTCCTCTACAGAAAGCTAAGTGGAGTCTGCAAGTACTTCTGCACATGATTAATTTTACAGATGTCATTAGTTTTGCTGAAATCAAAACTGAATCATATATTAAGCATGAGTGAAATTATCTACAGTATAAGTTAACATTTAGAGATGTCATTCTTGAGGAAGAACAACTATATCAAATGCAATTTAGAAAAAAAAGAAACTCATCAAGGGTTTAAGACAAATATACTGCTGAAGCAGCAAAATGGCTGGAGCAAGTTAATGAGCAGATTTTCCTTAACACTGAACCACAAAGTGTCTGATTCAGTCTGCTGTCTATGATATGCATGGTGGAAAATATAGTCCTTTTTTCCTTTCAATTGCTGCTCAGTGAATAATTGGCGCTTTTAAATCTTTGGATAGCTAATTGTCAAAAATAAAGTAGTGGGTTTTGTCACTGTTACACTTACAAGAATAGAATTAAATACATGTAAGTGCTAATTAAAATTACATATATCAATAAACATGAATAATGAACCAGATAATATTTCACAAAAAATAATTAAAAAAAAAAACCAAAACACAAAAAACCCAAAACCTGTTTATTGACTGAACACTATATTTTCCAGTGGGGAAAAGTCTGGCCCATATTTAGGGTACAATGTTACAAAGTTCAGAACTCAGATATTCTTCAAGTACAGTTGTTTACAAAGTTTCCCCCCCCCCTATATTTTGAGTACAACTTTATTATTATAATATAATAATATATAATATATAATAAATATAACTTTATAACTTTAATAATTTACTGAAATGAAACACCTCTTAGAAAGATGAAGGGCAAGAATCTAAAGGTATTTCATCTAGGAATATTAAGCTTAACTGGTTATTGCTATTTACTAGTTATACCTTAAAAGTAAAATATGAAATGTCATACAACTTGGCTTTCTCTCAAAAGAGGACACAATGGTACCTAAGAAAAAATGTTAATGTTACAAGTCCTTGTCCCTGCCTTATAATCTTTTGTCTTTTTTAATTGTAATTAATTTTTTTAAAAAAGAGGCAATGCTTGTTGGCAATTCTGAATCTTAAACTCTAAAACAAAATACATCTTTTTGAACCTTTAAAAGAAAATACCTCAATGATGGTTGGTTTGCCCACATTTTCTACAGTTGGTGAGCCATACAGCACTCCATCACTGTATGGTGTCCTTTGTATATAGCGTAGCCATCCAGGTCTGTCAGGGTAACCCATTAAGTTGGTATTAAATGTTATAGGATCATTACTTATTTCACCTAGATAAGAAAAATTATATTAGAGTATTTACAAGAAAATACTATACACTTCGATTTTGATGTTTCCATTAGAAAATTTTATCGTCTTCCAGTTATGCCTTCTAAACATTTCCAAAAAGAAAAAAAAAAAAAGGAAAAAAATGCTAACCTTCACCATATCAGAAATCTGTGAACTCCTACTCTGCACTTGTAAGTATTAAGAAATTCATATCTGAAAAGTGTAACCAACTGCAGAGATGAATATGCTTCTTAGAGCCCTGGCTAACTCTGTGTGCTTGCACTCATTAATTAGTAGCTCTGATTTTTAGAGCTCAGTTCTGCCTAGAATTGAAGCATCTAACCTCCTTACTGACAAATGCACAAAGGTCTCAGTCCTTTAATTCCCCCCAAAATCTTCTTTTATTTAAGTTTTTAATAATGGCTCTGGAGACCCAATGTACCTGGGCAGGCTTACTGTAAAGAGTGGCTGTGTAATCATCAATGTCTGAAAGCTTCTCTTAGCATCAGGATATACATACAGGTCTTCAGCACCAACAGCCTGGCAGTAGTTTTTCTTCAGAGAACAAATTAATTCAAAAAAGGACCAGACATTCCTGCAAAATGGATCCACTGACAGCCACTAAATACAATGGTCCAGACGCAATCTCTAAAAGCCCCTAAAGTTAAACCAGTACAACAGTTCTCATGGTTCTTATTGATACTCTTACAAATGGCCAGATTTGACTTCTGTTTATTTTAGCTTTTGTAAGCACTACCAGATCCTCACCACTGAGGCGTGAGCACCTTACAGGTGAGGCACAGAACTCGGGCAAATCCGCTCTGAGCCTGTGCAGACGCCTCTGCACTGCACTCCTCCAACTTGGCTTTGAAATGGCAACAGCAGCAGTTGTAGGACAAGTGACAAGAGAAGATGACAGGCAGGCTGGCACAGAAGGCAGAAACTGAGCCCAGTGAAGAAAGAACAGCTGTCATCTCCTCCAGAGAGGAACAAAGAGACTGAGACCTGTTGCCAAAGGGTAACTAGTTTTCAGGTATGCATTTACACATCTGGCTGTGGGTGAAAGGGACCAAAACCACACCGAACCAGCACCAGGACGCAATGCAACTTTCCCCGCAATTCTCTCGGAACATCCCAGTAATCGAATCTATTGCATTCATAATAAAATTCCCAGCATCACAAGTGATTTGGGGAAAAATCTGAAAGCTGCCTGTGATACATTCTGGTTTGCCCCTCATCAAGGTAGGCTATGCTAGTGATCCAGCACAGCAGACAAAAATAAAAGGACCATGGTAACAGCTGGCCTTACAGTGAATTTCTGATATGATCACAATCATCTACGGGTACAACAATTTCAGCAGTATCTGAAATCAGATTCCTACTGCCTTTGAATCACATGAATGTCAAGCCAGGCTGGGGCTGTAAGGATTCGAAAGACAATCCCTCTTTAGTAAAATTTCCAGGTTCCTTCCATCTATGTGCCGAAATTGGGAGAAAACTGGGACAGAGGCAAACTTCACTCTGCCAGTCACTGTTACATGAAATGAAGATTCAGGTATACACGTCAGGAAAAACATCCATTTTTCAAGGAGAGGAAATTTTTAAAACATTTGGGTTTATTCATGACAAAATTTAACCAATGCTAACAGAAGCTTATTTTTTCTTTAAAGTGATTTTTGAAAATAGTACTTCTCAAATCAATTCAAAAGCTTATTAATGAAACAGGTTTTGATTACATGTGCACTGTACATTTATTATAGGTTTTTCTTATTTTTATAGGAAAATAGGACAGTTACATTTATATAAATAGGATATATTTATATATTTATTATTCCTTTTCATTGTTGATAAGCATGTGGGGCAGAATGTTCTCTCTTTCCCCCCGTCGATTGCTTATACATATTCTAACCTGCCAATGAACAATCCTTTGGTGTACGTCAAATCACCATACTTAGGAAATCATGGCTCTTTCTCTAAAAACAAACTGCTTACTAACATTAAACTGTTCCTAAATATAGGAAGAAGGCCGAATCCAAAGGAGCTTTTGTTTTAAATGAAAGAAAACATCATTATGTAGTCTCATATTTGCTTTAATCTTCTATTTTGTCTCAAGTTTACTACATGCTTTCAAAGTGCTCCTTCGTATAGCCTGATACATACTACGTCTGAAACAGTGGTCAGATAAATGGCATTTTTAACAGACATAATTGTTAAACTTCCACGATTTCATATTTAATGCGAAAGCGAAGAAAAGGTATACTTCCTAATCTCAGATATATCATGTCTGAGATTATATATCATATAATTAGGCCCTCCCAAATTATTAAGTACATTTTTCACAATACACAATTATATGCACCTTTTCACAAATGATGATCACAAACCAGAACATTTTAAACTTGTAGGACCATGTATTTTATTTCATTTGAAGATATTTCAATAGAAACTAAAAACTGTCCTTTGTATGTTATTTGCTGAACTGTAAGGTATGCTAAATAGACTTGAATTTTTTTTGAACGTTTTTTTCTTTTACATTTTTATATAATATGGAAGATCTTAGCATCCCATACCAGGCTTTGGGTAAGGAGGAAATTCCCCCTTAAAGTACTCTCTCTCCAAAACATGAACAAAAAGAACTCCAGCAGAAGGGTATACATTCCGATCAGAGTGCACCTTAGACAGAATCGTGTACACTGAAAAGCAGAAGGAAAGACAAGAGACAGAAAAAAGCAAAAATGAGACATGCTTTAGATAATACAGCATGCATTTCAACAGCAATGTGGGCAATCCGGGAGAAGGAAAGCAACGAATATTAGATACCTGTTAATAAGTTTTTTAAAAGGTTGCATAGATTTAAGAACAGAACACAGAGCAAACCCTCCCTTTGCCCAACAGGATCCCTTCCAACACTGCAATAAACAAAACCAGCTATCTTAGGATTTCAGAAGTTGTACAACCTCTTTATTTTTATTGCAATTAAAAAAACAAACGAGGGAAACTACTGTAATTTTATAGTTGGTTTATTTGTAATATTACATCAATAAAATACATTAAATGAATGACACAACCGTGTTTTCTTGATATTTTACCTAAAAATAAGGAACATGAGAAATACGGAGGAGCCTTACCAATTAATGGTACTGATTCCTCACTGAATGGAAATGGCAGATTTTTTGGTTCTTGTGCAGAAAAGGACAAAGCAATTCACTTCAGCTGAGGATTTCTACGAGTTCTTAAAGCTAGACTTTCTTAGGCCAGCAAGTTCAGGTAACGTATGTCTAAAAATCTGGTTGAAGAGCTCAGTATTGAAGATGATGTGCTTGTATTGAAGGGTAAAACAGAAGGACGTGGGCAATTATAGGCCAGTCAGGTGTCACTGATGCCAAACAAAAAAATGAAGCCATATTTTTCAGAACTCAGAATTAAAAACCTAAAGGAAACTTAATTCAGAACAACCAGCATATAAAAAAATAGCATATTGCTTTTACATGTAATTACAAATTTAGTTGATAAAAGCAAATCTTACTTAGGTATAACACATTTGATGAAGTACTATATACACATTTTAATGAATTAGAAGACTAAAAAAAATCATTGATACATTAAATGGATAAGAAACCACATTATCGACCCTTCAAAATTTAAGTATAAATGGAGAATACTGATCTAATAGGCGTTTCTCATGGTGTTTTAACAGGACTGATTGTAGGTCATATTACTATTCCGTATTACTATTGAATTTGAAGTCAATGCCCTGAAAGAATCAATAATTGCTGATGAATTTTGTCAATGAGATGAGGATTACACAAGTGGTAAATAAAGATAAGTCACAGACTCAGAGACACACAGCTACATGCCTTGCTTGCTAAACTGAAAGAAACTTTATGAAAGGTCACATCTCTAAACAAAGATTATAGGCCATACAGCATGGGGGTACTGTCATAAGGAAGAGCCAAGACTTCCGAGTCATTGTAACGAGCTCATAGGAACAAACTTGTACCTCCTAGAAGATAAAAGGGCTAATTTCAACACTTGGATCAATAAGCAAGATACATTTGAAATGCGGATCAAGCTCATGCAATTTTCTAATCCTGGTATAATTTCTCTAGTCTTGTCATTATACCAACCTTCTTACTTGAGAACCACTTAAAAAGCCACTGCTAATTAGGCATTAATCACAGACATTCCATCCCTCGCACAACGTACTCTGTGTGGAATCTATCTCACCTAATTTTAGATGCCTACAGAAACAACATGCACCACTGACTTAGTCAGGCTCCTTTTATAGTCAGTGGAGGAGAAACAGACGGTTCTAGGGGTTGATTAATTTGATTTCTCCTGTAAAATGAGATGAATCACGTCCTAGATTCCTGACTACACTGACTAGATCTCCACCGACTGCAGAGGCAGCTGAGAGGAGACGCAGACATCTGTAACGTAGACCTCTACATTTAGTTACATACTTCCCACTCTTCGAGCCTGACGCTGCACAATTAATAGTCTCAAGCTCTGGATATACTGTTGATCAAATTCCACAGCAGTTGCTTTTTCCCACTTTTGGAAACCGCTTTTAACACAGTACTGAACAGAGTACCTTTCTAATAATTTTACCTTAAAGACAAAACTAAAGTGGATCCTGAAACTTAAATAGTTTATTACAATTTTGTGTGGTGAATAAACAAGTTACTGTAATTTTAATTATGTAGACTTGATTTAAGTACCGTAACATAGCTATCTGATTTGTATAATTAAAATTAGTAAATTGATGACCCAAAAAACTTTTGCACTCACTTCTGTGAATGAGCTGTAAATAGAGCAAGGAAACTAATTGATTTCCTTTAAAATATTTTCAAGAAAAGCTGAAAAAGTAATTTATAACATTAATAGAGCAGAAAAGCTGACAAAAATATGGTGGCTGGCTGAAAATGTGTCAAATATCTAGAAAAATCCATTTTTCCATTTCTGATGCTTTGACTCTACAATGAAAATCCATTTCAAACAGGAAGAATAGTGAAAAAATAATTTATATTTTCTCCATAAGCAATAGTTTTAGAAAGGAAGAAGGATAATAGAATCAGCAGTTACTGGAAAAAAACGATATAACATATTTCTTTTGTCTGTTAGAGGAAATGTATTGCCACCACTAAATGCCTGCCCATTCCTAGTAATGAGACGTTCTCTGTTGCTGAAGTGAGCATACCAATAAGGATTTCATGCAGATATAAAACAGTGATCTTGGCGGAACTCTAAAAATGCCTCTCAGAAGGAAAAAACCCACAAACCTATTTTATCTTATAATGACAAACACATTGTAATGACACAAGTATGGAGATTAAGAATTCGAAAGTTCTCGCCCCCCCTTGTCAGAGAAGCCCTCTTCTTTTTCCCTTAAGAAGTTCCTTCAAAACCAGCAGGAAAATGATGAGTCTTCAGCCCACTACAGCAATCACTGCTTTTCAATAACGAAACAAGTGAAATGCTATTTTCTTCAGAAGCTTTTAAAACCCACAATTATTTTCATAAGACTGCCTGAGACTGGAGATGAATGTGTAATCATCTTAGGCGATCTAGGGATGAAACTGAATACACTTACCAACTTCTAGATACTAATCTAATACAGCAGACTGCCAGATGTGAATTTCCTGGGCAAATTCCCTGTGGTAGATAAAAATCTCGGGGACTGTGAAAGGCTTCTGTAAAACTAACCATGGGAAATTAAAAATCTTCGCTACATAGGATCACAACAGATCCCTGCTAGAAAAAAAAAAGACAGTATCAGCTACCTTTACAGCACAGTTTTCTTCTTTCTTGTTTCCTTCTCCAGTCCCTTGGAGGACTTTCTGTAGATCCCAAGATATATCTGTGCAGAAAGGTTAGAAGTTCTGGAGATTGGGAAAGAAGTAGATTAATTGGGAACTGAAGGTTGGAAAACATGCATCACTCTTTTTGAAACATGTACCGGAACTGTCCCAGTTGTTCTTCTTGTAGGTCTTGAACGTGGGCACAGCCAGGAATTCAGCTAGGATTATATCAGCCTCCAGCCCAGAGCCTGTTACCAGATACAGATGACCCCCGTCTGCAGAAATTTCAGAAGATACGCCATGTTGGTTGAAGCCTGGATGTTGATGATCTTCAGAAAAAAATCCACCTGGAAATTTTGTCTGGGAATTTCAATGGGTTCTCTCCCCATTGATTTTTAGCAGATGAAGCACAATCCCAGAAATAACTTGATTTGGGGGCCAATCCAGATTGCCTGCCTGCATGGGCAATCAGTGCAAAGCCTTTTCTCAGCCAGTGTACACTGACTGAAATATTCTATGTGTACTTGCACAAATGACAGTAAAATAGTCTTTTTACATACATATAAGAAAAGATTTCTTAAATTGTTACAGACAAGTTATTGTATTAAGCAAACTGCAGAGGTATCTCCAAGCAACCAGCCATGATAAGAAAATGTGCAATATTAGGTATACACACAGCCATTATTTCAAGCAAAGCTATAGGAACAGGAAAAGTTGGGGAAGACTCACAAAGACACTCAGGTCTGTGAATGTTTAAAAGATTGAAGAAATGCAAAATTTTCCAAATTACTTACCTTGAAATAGCACCTTATTCCTAAAACAAGGACATGACTAAAAAAGCAAGAGTAGTATTAAAAGCAGATTTGACTGAACCAACATGGGATTTAAATTTACAACCTAAACTCACCATTCTTCTCAACAGCCTTTATTCTGCTGATAATATAACTGTGGGCTTGCTTAGTCGTCCAGTTAACTGTTCCATTATTGCCATCAGCAGAGCTTAACAAAAAAGCTTTTCAGAATAAAACAAATGCAAAAAAAAATTAGTCAGATCAATAGACTCCCACAAACCAAGTATAGATGGGATCATATGCCTTCTAAACCAGGTTTTTGTTTTAGTCAGAGTTTAGGAACCTCAGGTTAAAAAAAAAATGGTGGTGTTTGATTTGAATATTTAAACATATACTAATCTTTCTGACAGTTACCTTTTCGACACTCATTTTTCCAAATGAGCTAAGTTTACACTAAACGCTTAAGCCTCCACAGACGCTTCTACTGACATAATTATACTGATAATAAAAATGATGAAGAGCATTCTCTGATAAATATATTTGCATTGGCAAAACCTCATATACAGGCAAAGACATATCTAAAGTTACTTTCACTGGCATAGTGTACTTTGGCCAAAGTTGGGAAAGTAATATAACCAAGCGCACAGCTTTGCTCAGATAAAGATGCTTTGCTTATATAAAGACACATGGGGCTGATCGCCTTGCCTTGCAGGCATAACCAATAATCAATTTCGAAAAAAGAACCAGTTGAAAATGGTTGTCATCATCCCATGCAGCTAGAACACAGCCTGAAAACAGCTGGATCAGTGCAGCTGAAGGTGCAAGAAGGTTTAAATGTGGTGAGGAGCAAATGACTACAGGAGACAGAAAGCAGCTGTGCAGCTGACAGAAAGACTCCGTTTCACCAGCAGCAGAACTGCCTGAGAAAGTTCCCTCCTCACTTCCCACTTTTTGCCCTTCTGTTCCTTTTCCTGTGTGATGAATAATAGATATATCAGCTGTTTGTATAGTTACATGCCAACTGAACGTATGGAGGGAAGGAATTGCAGTCAGATGCTGGGAAAGGGAAAGTGGCCATAATAAATAGTCTTTCTTTTGAAATAGTTTGGGAGCGAGAACTCATGTCAAACCCCAGTTAAAAGGTGTTATTGGATTAGCATCTTAACTTCCTTGTAAAAATAGCAATATCAGAAGCATCAAGTAGCAGTACTTGCATACAGATACACCAGTCTGCAAGAAGAAATGAACACTTACTGCCAAACACTCAAAGTATGCAATATCATTTACACTAGAAGCTTAAACATCTGTGGAAATTTCTGCTGACATAGTTACACTGGTCAGCTGTTACATTACTGATATCGCATTCTCCCAACAGAATTTAGAAGGCCCAACAGATCTGGCTTAAGCAGTAGTCAAGATACACAAATACTCAATCTATGCATGTGAGCCAGCCATTTATTAATGATAATTTACACAAAACACCTAAAACTGAATTGAGGATGAAGTGTAATAAAAAAAGTTATGTGTTCAAATTACCATACCAACACAATAATGTTTCTAAATTATGAATTTCTGTTAAGTTTCTTTAGATTTTCAACATACACAAAGGATCTGATTTAACAAAAGGTATTATTCACATCCACTGTTTTACATCCGTCTTGCAAGATGGACAACTTTCTCCCTGCTGAATTGATCTGCATAGACTGCAAGTCTTAATATAATAGCATCCTACGGATTATCCAACTCAGCACTGCCTGTGACCTTTAGTGTAAATTTTCTATAATTCTTGGAACACTCAAGAAATTCCGAAAAGGTAAAATACAGTTGTTCCAATATTTCAACAAGATGAGCTGGGCAATCAGAGGCTTGTCAGCTACAAACCAGCACCAAGCAAAACAATTAATACAAGATTTGATTACTGAAATATTAAATGGAGAAAAGTATTATACTTATCACAGTCAACAAGGATTTAATGCATCTTTTCAGACATTTTTGATGAGCCCACAAGTTTTTTCTGATAAAGATAGCAATAATGACATGTTACCCTTAGATATATAGCGTATCACCTAGCACACTGATTGAGAAACTAGATACAAAATCATTCTAGCATATTCAAATGGAATAATAAAAAAAAAAAAAGACAGGTTCCAAGATGTATTTTTTAATATAAATGATCAGTAAGTGTCTTTGATTTGGGTTCACAAGTTGTGCTAGGTTTAGCTGTGGGGATTAAAGAGGTTACCTGTCCACCTCTCCACCCTACGCTGTATTTCACAGGGGAACTGAAAAAGCAACCAGTGTGCCTGTTTTCAGATCCTAGAGTTTACAGTGCGATGTTTTAATATAAATATGTATCACCATTTATTTGATTTCAAATGACAGGTGTGAAATGAAACAATTCAGGAGCACACTGCCCATTCAACAGCTTTCACCACAGGAATGGCAGTCTCAAGCAAGAGAATAGGGCTACTGGATAGTTAATTTGTTATATGAGATTTCTAGTGGGCCTTACAAGGTTCTGTCATTGGCATTATGCAATTTGACTTTTTTGAGATATATATAGATATATAAAGTGACCTGGATGTACAATATATACTGATAAAATTTGCAGGTAAAAACAAAGGCTAGGAGATTGACAAGTAATGGAGATGACATGCTACTAACACAAAACAGTCTGCATTGCTTGGTAAAAAGGTGATCAGTGATATGCACTTCAATAGAATAAAATATAAATGCATACCCAGGAACAAAAGCGGCATGCCATACACACACTACAGAGCATGCACTTCAGGGATGCTGAACTTCGACAAAAAACTAGGGACATATGTCAGGTAATAACTGGTTGAACAGAAGCTTTCAGCAGAAGACTGGTTACAACGGCTGATACGTAAACAGCAACATCAAGGAGGAGCAGGGAGATTTTATGTTTGTACTTGACACAGATACAATCACTGTTCAAATGCTGTGTCTAGTACTTACACAGAGCCTTCAAGAAGCACAGTGACAACATGAAGAAAGCTCAGGGAAGATCTGTGAATATGATTAAAGGATGACAAAAGAGTTCTTATACTATAGAATGCAGGGATTCAAACTATGCATTTTATCAAAGAGACAGTTTAGAATTAATTTGATCAGCCTTGTACTCATGCTGAAAAAAATGTTAATGGTGTCAGGCTCTTCAGTTTGTTACACATTGCCACAGTTGCTGGAGCACCCACCAGTGCTTCCAACAGCAGGAGCAACTCACAGCTCTATACCTGGGACCTGAACATGCCCAGGTGAAGTACATCTACAGTGTTTTCTTTTTTCTTTTCTTTAATTATATTTTTCTTTAATTAATCTTTAAATTTTATTTTCCTTAAATTATTTTTTATTTTTTCTTTAATACTTTTCTTTAATTATATTTCTATTATTTTATAAAATAATAGAAATATAATTTATATTTATACTATTTCCCCCTTTAATCATATTTGCATAGGTTTTATGTAGAGGTTTTAAGTATTAATATTTAACAGCAGAATATTTAACACAGAAGATACCCACAACAATTTCTGCCTACCTCACAATCAAAAAAAGGACCAAAGTATCATGGACCAACTTCACCTTCCCCATTCTTTTATCGCACTGTAACATCCCACACCATCCTGCACCCTACCTGTCCTCCTTATTGCTTCTTTGAAGTAGGATCTCAAACCCATCTCTCCCACTACTAATGCAGCACACAGCTCCAGCTCTCAAAACCCAGCATTTCCCCTCTCTCCCGCACCTCCACCTGGGACCTGACCTAAGCACGTGCTTGCTACTTTCATGCCACAGACCAGGATCTCGAGCCGTGCTTCTACCACTCCTTACTCTCTTACCACACAACCCTGCTCCAAAAAACCACCCTTGGACTCCTCTACTGCATATCCCATCTGGCTCAGAGTCCTTCCTGCATCCTGAGCTGGAAGCACAGGTCCATACATAGGGCAGATTTCTGACAGGCTGCTGAGAACCACGGAGCATAACAGTTAGGAACTGACACCAAGTTGAAACAAAACATCTGTCAAGAGCGAACCATCTGCATCGAGGTGCTTAGCCCACAGCTCAAATCAGAGCCTGTACCCAAGGCAGTTACTAAGGATCCAGTGGTGTCTGCACTGAGATACTTGCCCAGTTGGTCACATCTTCCACTAGAGGAGGCAAAAGTTGCACCACCACCTACTTACTCTCCCTCTTCTTCCAACCTCCACACCCCTTACTCTTACCTAATATGCAGTCCATAAGCAACCATCACTGCAGAAATTTACTATGAATTAAAGTGGATTCTCTCAGTGGAAATTCACATCAAGATTGGATATATATTCTATATATTCTAACAAATAAGATCCTCTTCAACGACAGCTACTACATAAGAAATAAGAATTAATTTGTGTTAGTTCTCCATTGTGGATTGCTCAGGTCCCTCTGCACTCCATTTATTATAACTGAGTAAAAGTTCAAATCAAACCCAGAAATGTTTCCAAGCTCTATACTTATTCATCGTTGTTCAGTAGGTAATGGTTTCCCACCTGTTTCTGTGCTATCCATTGATTACTGTAACATCTGAATATTTCTCCAAGATCATTCGAAAAAAGTAACCGAATAAGGCGTTTTGTCAGTTTCACTGTGAAACTTCGGCATCTGCATTCTTGGGAATGCTGCAAATTAAGTACTGGGAGAACAAAAACCTCATGCTTTATTAATAGTAACACTTACCCACCACCATTCTCCCTCCTACTGCAGGCCTGACAAGAGAACCAAATTAGATTAGCTTTTCCATGAAGGTGAGGAAAACATTGCTAGTTCCTGCGGTCCAGCCCCAAGCCCACGGTGTAACCAAGGTGTATGGCCAGGTCACCCTGTAAGCCTGCTATTCCAGGACGCCCCCTACATTTCTGTCATCTCTTGATATGAATTATCAGAGTATCCCTGCAATTACATTCCAAATTTCTGAGGTTGCAATTCATTTAAAAGACGAAAGGAATTCAGAAAAGTCATAGATTTCAAGACACTGAGATTTCTGTCTGAACACTAGATTGTTCTTTCTAACTTCTCATCTTCATGGCTTGGACTGCCACTAAAAAGAATCTACATTTAAAAGGCATTTTGGTGGTTTGTGTTGCAATTGTAACAACATTTAGACACAGTCTATGTTTACATAAACAATTTTTTTTTGGTATTACATAATGAGCGCCACA